ATCATTGTCTTTTCTAGTAAAACTAAAAGACAATAAAGTAAAAGAATTGAAAAAAATTTCTTTCTTTATATTAATGTCATTTAAAATCAATGTCAAACATTTATAAATATTAACAAAAGAGTAACGACATTGACAAACATACCAACTAACAATTGTATATACCATTGATCAACTCTATGAAACATTCAGCAGATGATGGTGTTTTTCAATCAAATCTTTTACAAGCATTTCAAAAAAATAAAATTATTCAAAATAAATTAACTGAATGTCAACATGTATATTATATTCAATTAGTAAAAGATTTAGAAATTTATAATTTACAAGAAAAATATAATCGAGAATTATTATACACATGGAAAAAAGAATCTTATATACGGCAATTAAAAAAAGATTTACAAGAATATGAACGTCAACGTTTTGGAATGAGAGATGATTATTATGAAAATCAACTTAAAACTTTAGATAATGTCATCGCTGGTGAACAAACTCTTGTTATACCACCAAGTGAAGAAAAACGTCGTTTAGATGTAAATGCAAAATATCATCAATTTCTTCAAAAAAATCCTCTTCAAACATTACCATCCATGCGTGTTAATAAATCAGCAAATATTTCTTTTCAACAAAATACAAATAATAAAAATGAAGAAGAAGAAGAAGAAGAAGAGGTTCATAGTTTAGAAAAAACTTGGGAACATATTCATGCACAGTCTGCTAGATTTCCAAGACAAAGACAAAATACTACTTTACCGACAATTCATCGTTCATTAACAATGAATGAAATTCGAAAAAATAGAGCTTCAGCAAAAAGTTATAGTTCATCAATAAGAGATAATGTATCAAATGCACATTTTACACAAAGTTTTGAATTAATTAATACATCATTCGATGAGAAAATTCAACAATCACCACGATCACCTGCTAGACTTACTCAAAATCATTCGGGGCTATCTGATGGTATTGAACCTTTACTTATTACAAGTGAAACATTAGACAAATATAGTCGTGCTGATCTTGTTTCAATGCGTAGCGTACGTCGACCAAGAAAAAATCCTTCGGATTTAAATTTATTATTTGAAACTCGTAAACGAATTTATCAAATAAATAGACGTGCTTTAGATCATGAATTAGATCAAAGAAAACGTGGATTACAAAAACCTATTCAATTTGATCAACTAAAACAAATAGATTTAACTAAATATAAAGAAAATTTACTTGTTAATGTGAATGAAAATACTGAAACACCTTCAAATGATAAACATTAATATGATAAAATTATTGTTTAGAAAAAAGAAATATATGTATTGTCAGTTAATTTTCATTAAATAATTAAAATTTTTTCGTTTATAATATCACTTACATAGCAACATTTTTTTATTGCTATTTATTTAAATTCACAAGGATGTTGTTTACTTTTACAAATATGTTTAAATGAAATTTACGTAGTAAAAAAGAAACATTTTAAATAGCAGACGTTGGTAACTGAGAAGAGAACAAATGTATTACTACGTAACTATTTTTACGTGTTTTTTTTGTCGTAAATGAATCTTGAAAAAGAAAACATTAACATTTTCTCAATCAATTTCAATATTGAATTATCCAATACTTAGTTTTATATTGTTCACTTATTCTGACTATAATTGCTGTTCGATTTTTGAAGAAGAGGATAGTTATTTGAATTTTAACTAGTCTTATAAAATATTTTAGAACAGCTTTTTTGAGGTTCGTTTATTGTTCTATGTGTACAATAGAGAACATTTTCTTATTGAATTTCATCATCGTTACGTGAATAAATGACACCTCAAATTGTCTAGCATAAAGTGAGATCCTCAAAGAACATCAAATAAGAATCTTTTAGATTTTTTTCGAAAAACTGTCTACTTGTTTACGAATAAGTCTTCTTTACTATTGAATAGTCTTTCATTAATTAAGTATTGAACAAAAAAGAAAGCAAACAAAAAGCTACATTTGATGAATAATAAACAACTGTAGAAACTGTTATATGGCTTTCAAAAACTTTTGTAAAGCTAAATGAACGTTTCTCTGAGAGAATTTTTAGGTCTAATACCATTCTTGCAGATTATTCTGTATTTTACCAACATGTAAGCGCTCAATAAATCATTCATAGATTTTATTCTGTCGTTAATAATATAGTGTAAAGTACAAAAAAATATGCTTATATTCTTCATACAAGCATTTTCATGACAAGTGTCGCGAAGTTCATTAGAGTTTAATTTATCTCCCCTTTTTTTTATTGAAATGCATCTAGTTCTGGCTGACCTATAGGAAGTTATGAGTACGCATATTTATAGACCCGAAGCAGACATTCAATTTTGAACGAGTTCAGGTTTACAGTAGAGTTATTGTTTATCAGTGCCTAGCATTTTCTATCAGAGTGACTAAGAAAACGAGTAAGACTTCAACTATTCATTATTTACATTCAGAAGAAAATCGATGCCAAGTTATTTCTTGTTTTTCATTCTCCCGTTACTTTATTTTGAACACTAAATTGAATAGAGTATTGTACTATTGAAAAAATAAAATTCATCATGGAAAATTATCAAATCAGAAAGAGTACCAAAATCTTCAGTCATATAAAATAGTTTTCGTTACATAGTATAAATTATATGAAAGAATAATTTATTGAAGGAGATTAACGTCCATCTATATGTTGACCGGAATCGGATAAAAACTAAAGGATTCTTTTGGATTTTGTAGTCAATCTTGAACCAGAATGGCATATATGTGATTTTGTAGAGCAAGTTGTGACGCATCGAATGGTGTATAAGAAGCCAAGTTTTTTGAAGAATTTTATGTAATAAAAGTCGACACAATACTTGGGAAATACTATAGGATACTCATAGACATTATGACTCATAGAATATTCTAAAGCAAACTTGTGTAAATTTTTTTCTAAGCTCAATTCGATACAGGTATAAGTGCGCTTCAATTTTTTATGATCAATAGTTTTCATTCTTGCTTTCTTCATACTTCAAAATAGTCCTTGTTGTTATTTCTAGGTTATTTCGTGACTATACTATATTCCAGTGTATTCAATTCTGTGCCACAGAACAAGTGAGTATCAACATGAACCTTGTGAGAAAACTTCATACTATCGAACTCTATACATTTCACACATAACATGTTTTGGAATAGCAGGCACTCATCATCAACTTGTAAGATTGTCTCCTAGAATAGTCTATTTTTGTTTATGGAGAAATCAGTATATTAACGACATTTTAACAATAATCTGCGGTCCTTGTAAAAGTTTTTATGCACCAATTATCATCATAGCATCCCTGATGAATTGATAGAAGTAATTCATTCATAAACGTAAAAAAAAACGTTTTTGATCCCTAGGTCCCTGGAGAAGATACAACCATGTGGAAAAATTCATTTTTTGAAATAAACATGAAATATTTATAGATTACTATAGCATTTTATGCAAAAATCAAACCTGAATACATTGATGTCAAAATTGGAACAAGCAATGATAAAAATAACAGACCTTCTTTCTGCAAGTATATACTCGTACTTTCCTTCAGGGGTCTCAAGGTCAAAAAATCCTTTTATGTTTGTAGAGGAGTTATTTATATTAATTGATCAGGGATACTGTGCTGATTATTGGTACATAAAAATTTTTAATAGAAACACTGAGTATTGTTAAAATGCTGTCAATATTCTAGTCTCTTTATAAATAAAAATGAACTATTCTAGAGGATAATCTTCTTTGCTGAAAATGAATTCCTGCTCTTCCAAAATCTGTGATGCATGAAACTTTTGCAAACGTTTCACGTTGGTATTTTATTGTTCTGTGGTACAGAGTTGAGTACACTAGAATATCATGTAGTCAAGAGATAACTCTAGACCTAAGAAAAGGAACCATTTTTATGTATCAAGAGAGTTAGGATAAAAACTATCGATTATATAAAATCGAAGATTAGCAACCATAACTGTAATACAATGAGTTTAGAAAAAAATCAGCATACGTTTGTTTTATAATATCCTATGGATTACAATTTCTATGGGGTTACATGAATTTCGGCCCATCCTTAGAATGACCTCATTGATCCCTAAAAAAATCTAATTTTTTTAATTAATTGCTAGATATCGTAGTGCTGAGCAGAACGGCGTAGTGCTGAGCTGGACGACTTAGTGCTGAGCAGGACGACATGGGCGTGGGCATAGCTGTGGATGCCGGTCAGCGCAAAAAAATACGAACGTACCGCATACGCCTACACTCACACCCACCCCGTCCTGCTCAGCAATACGTCGTCCTGCTCAGCACTACGATATCTAGCAATTAATTAAAAAAATGAAATTGTTTTTTAGGGGTCAATGAGGTCATTCTAAGGATGGGCCGAAATTCCTCTAGTATTTTCGGTCCGGCCCAAAAATTCACCGGAATTTTGGACCGGGTCGAAAATTCCGTGGGTCGAAATTCTGGTCTCCCTTTCTATGAGTATCCTATAATATCTTTATAGCAGCATAAGCAGTGTATCGACTCTTATCACATCGAACTTTTCATAAAACTTGACTTCTTATATACCATTTAATGCGCCTCAAATTGCTCTACAAAACCACATCTATGGCATCGTTGTTTGAGATAGATCACCAAATATTTATCTGAATCTTCTTTTTTTTTTTAGAATGACTACTAAAAGTATCATCATTTTACTGTAATAATAAACTTTGAATAATATTTCATGGATATAATTGATTATTTGATCATTTAAAAGAACTCTTATTTCAAATAGTTTTCTTCCATAATTAAAAACAAACATGACATTGGAAGTTGATGTCAAACAGAAAAAAAATGTTATTCAATAAAAAAATTTAATTTAGCCATCAATTAGAAACAACACGCTGTTATAAATAAGTGTCATCTAAATCTCTGCTCGCTCTTTTTGAATCATTGATCAAATTATTCTCAGGTGACGATGTGTTTCTAAAGAAAAAAAAGTAAGACGAAAGAAAAATTTTCTTTATATGCATAGGTTTTTTTAGTACCTCATTGTTTTCAATTCTAACTGAATTTGTTTAGCTCGTTCATCATCAATTGGATAAAAATATAAACATATTGTTGATAAAATCAGTACACCACCAGGAATAGCACCCATCAATATACTTATTGTCAATGCGACTGATTCTGGTTGTTCACACTTTTTAGCATCATAACCACTTTCACTAAAAATGACTACATACAATCTATTGATTAAAATCAGTCATGTTTACCCTAGTGCTAATTGAACAAGACCCGCATATAATGCTTGTACAAGTTTAGCACCAAGAAAAAAGAATGTATAAAAAATTTCTACAGGTCTTCGACCTGTTTCAAGCATAAATGCATCAATACATTCCGGTAACATGCCCCTATATTAAAACTATTTTTTCTTTGAATTTAATAAATATAAAATAATTCAAACCATGGCATGATATAACCACAAGCAACTGTATTTGCACCAATAGCGGCCGCAACAAATAAAAGAGCTATAGGAGATTTAGTAATTAATATAATGATCACAGTCGGTATTAAGCACTAATTTAAAACAAAATGAAAACTTTCTTTGAATGCACAAAACAAAAAGATGAATTATTACATACTAGATTTCCAATAAAAAAACTTTTTTTCTTTCCAATACGACGCATTATTATCGCCCATACAAACAAAAGAATCATTGTTGATATCTATAAATGTAAAAAATGAAAATTAATTAAAGACTAAGTTTTTCTTTTGTTGTTTGAAAAATACAAACAATTAATGTTCCAGCCAAAAATGGAAATACTGTATGATTCTTTTTTACATGAGTTAAATAAAGTTCAAGAACACTTTGAATTGACTATAGAAAAAAAAACTATGAAATATCTGTATCAATGAAAAAAGCAAAAATTTTAATGAGCACCTGAGTTGCAAGAATAGATGCGACTGTTGCTGCTGTTAAGATCATAAATGGCTTGTAACGTATTATCATTTTAAAAGCTTTCATAAAACTTGTTTCACTAGTTGGAATAACATCTATTAATAAAAAAGAATTAAATCAAATTTTTGATCTTTTTTTAACTAACCAACGATTTCACGGACAGAAAAGAATAAAAATAATGATGTTAGAATATGAATTAATGCTACAATGCCAGCTGACGTCATGTAAGCACCTGCCTAGGTTTATTTTACCAATAAGAAATAATAAGGAAATTTATTTTTTAATTACCACATTAATTGGAACTGCGGTATCCAGTGGCCTCATCGTATTCATGAAATCTTCCGTCATATTGTCGATCGATCCATTAAAAATTGTTGAATTTCCACAATCTAGTTTATTTTTTGTTGCACCAAACAGAGCTGTAATACCCGACTGAAAGAGAATTGAAAGTAAAAGACCAGCAGCTTCAAATAGAGTACCTATTTCATGTACAAAAAACTTAAAATAATATTAATAGAATTATTTATTCATACGATATTTTGTCAATTGATCTCGTTCATGTTGATTTAGCGTTAAATAAACAGTAAGAGCTGTATGTGGAATACGTGATGCCTAGAGTTTTTTTTTCTTCTTTTTTATTACAAAAAAATAATTTCTATATAACTTACAGTCATAAATGTCCATAGTAAAGAATGAAGCAAGAGATAATAGACCAATTTCCCACCGTCAGGAATATTCGGAAGACACCAAATGCCGAAATAGCTAAGTGCAACAAAAGGCGCTGAAAAAAGTATCCTAAAAATGATATTGAATTAGAGAAAATATGTATGTCAAATCTGAAAGGTTAACTCAATGATTCAATATATGAAATTCTCGGAAACATACACAGAGGATAATTATCGGAATATATGATAAAATTTTCCATCACTAAATTTAACCTTTATATGTGACATTACTGAAATAGAAATGCAGCGATGCCTGATGTTTCACACTGGAAATCATATATTTGCGGTACTTAGAACTGTCAATGCCGATCAAGTCTTCTAATAAGACTTAATCGGTTTAAATCGTTCTATCTGACGCTATTATCACACTTCATGAAATACTATTTATAAGTGTAAGATTTCGCTGAAATTGGCGGTTCTAAGTACTACAACTATGTAATCTTTACTGTAAATAAACAGGAATCAATACATACATAACTAAACCTAATATAGTGCTAGATCTAGAAAAATTGATGATTATAAATATTTTTTAGGAAAATGTGATTTTGTATTAGCATAGTGAAGTGTAACGACATTTTTACTAGATGCTGGCCATCATTTTTTTAGGCTTTTCACACAGAATTGTAAACGATTGTAGATATTAAAATAGTGATCAATAGTTTATCCTCATTACATATGATGACTTAACATGGAGCTCATTGTTTTCACGATCGTGCCAAACCATGTTCTGTAAGTGAAGCCGCTTTAAGAGTACTTCCCTCCCCTTCCTGACTCAAAATTTTTGGTCTCTTGGTTTTGGGTTTTTCGTGACCATTTTTCTATCCCAAGTGGTATCTATCTACTGACTACATTTTGGGACCAGAGTATTGTCTTTAAACAATAAAAAATGAAGAGGAAATCAAATTTACGTAACGAAAATAGAAAAATTCTAAATTGTTTTGCATTTTTCTCAAAATCAAATTTTTAACAGAAAAAATGCTGTTTCTCTACCATTTCTCCGGCGTAGTAAGTCCGATCGAGCTGAAATTTTTTTCACGTATACTAGACACTGTTTGGGACAAGTATTTTTCTTTTGTTTCAAAAAACATCAATCTGTTGACCTCTTCTTAGTTCTTACAAAAAGAGTGCTATTCAAAACAACATGTGTTTTTTAGGGTGCCTACGATATTTTTACTTTTTCATTCGAAGCAAAAGATAATGAGAAACCAAAAAAACGTCCACCCCAAACGGTGTCTAGTATCTGCCAAAAAGAGTTTCAGCTTGATCGAACATGGCATCTCGGAGAAATGGGAGCGAAAACTGAGACCATTTTTCGCTATTGTGATCCAAATATCTCATAGAAGACAGCATCCAAGAACTTTAAGTCCAAAACGACTTTTACCCTACATATCAAGATTTACGTGCCCTGAAAATTTCAAATTCTTCTGATGAGCCGTTCTCCGAAAACTGCAAAAAGAAGGGGGGGGGGGGGCAGGGTCCCTTAAAGTTAGAGTATAATCAATGGCTGTCTAGACTTATTTTTCAGATAGTGTTTGTTGACTTAAGACTAATTTGTCTATCGTAAAAGCATCATGCATTGGCGATTACTACATCACATAATTGCCATGTTACTTTTTCAAACATTGCTATATTTTCTTTAACTATTCTGACATATTCAGCAGATTCGATCGTCAGTGAACAAGTGAAGTACTCAGCGAATGGTTATTATTTTTTTCTTACTTTACATACTTGAAACTGATTCATTTGGTAGTGTTATTACTTATAAACTAGGGTTTAATTTCATTTTTTCAACCTTGAAATGAGAATCATCATCAATCAGACGACAATATCTTCGGTGTTTTCAGATGACATATTGGTCTACAAATCGGACAACGTGTGATTCATCTTCAGTCTCTTCATGAACATACTATGACTATTTACAAATTAATTGTAACATAGAGCTTAATCGCCATAAATAAAGTATCGCTCATCATAAGCTAATCTCCTTTTTTTTTTTATTTAAGAACACTATGAACTGTGATGTACAAATGAAAATTAACCTTACTTATTCAAAACTAGGGTTTCAAGCTTTCACTTAAAAGTTTTATATGGTACTATTAATCCAATTATGGTCATACCATGCATAAATATAGAGTTCAATAGCAGGTTTAGAGAAGAATGTTGGTGATAATCATCATCCTCCTCCTTCTCCTACCAAAAACCTTTTCAGAGTTTTCTCAGCAGAAAATATACAATAAAGAGCTGATACTACCTCTAATGAACTTCAAGGCATATTTTCTGGCTTAGATCATGTCCTACTCTTTCCACTGAAGCACACGCATTAATAAAAACTTCTTAGATCTTTATATTCATGCACAGGAAGAAAAATGTGATATCATTCGACCATGTACTTTTCATGTCAGATGATTGCCATTATTGTAAAAGAAACAAAGAAAAGATATTCAATCAAAAACAAATTAGAAGATTCATTAGTCTATCCTTTATTTCGTCACACTGGATAATATGAATTGCGCAGTGGACACTCGGGAATTATCAAAAGTCCAATTTTTGATGTAACTTTCGATAATTGTCGAAGATTTTATTATTAATTATTGACATAACTATTTAATAAAAAAGTTTTATAGTCAGGTTTTAGTAAGGCTTTTCTTAATTACTGAACGTTCGACGATGAATAATTTGTTATTGCCTAAATCTCAACGATGAGAATTTTTCAACTTTTTCACTGATGTTTTCTCTCGATTGTACATACTTTCTATGATTCTACAAGAGCACTATGTACACATCGGATGATTGCCGTGTAGAATAATTGGTACTGAGCATTCTATAGTATAAGCATCTTGAGCAGTAAATACCTGCAGATACAATCATTTAGGTAATCAAACAGATAGTATACGATTTCAATACGGTAAAATTTATTGAAACTATTTTTTTAATTTCCTAAATGCTGATCATAAGGCTGAATTTTCAATTCATACTACATATTTTGCTTATTTATTTTCCGTTTCACAACAGTATTTTTTTATTATAACTATATCTGCAGTCTCCTCTTCTAACAGCTTACTGCTGAAGCGACGTTTTTCACACGTCATAGCTAGGAATGTGTAAAACCAAAAAAATAAAATTTGAACCGGATCGAATCCTTCAGAAAGAAAATTGCCGAGACTAAAACTCAAGTTTACACTAAAATTTTTGATAAATTTAAGTGAGTTGTCTTAGAAATCATATGAATGGGAACATAATTCAAGAGAGATGACCCAAAAAATGCTAGTGGTCGACAAAATAAATAAAAGAGTATTGAAGAACTAGTTTAGATGTGATAGGAATAGACTCCGGAATATTTTTTTGTAGTTCGAGATCTGAAGAACTACAATCACTGTGGCCGGGACTAAGACTACACTAGCTTTACCGGGACAGGAACCAAATAACTTTGGTCCTGCACATCTCTAGCTATAACCAGTGTACTAGTTGAATAAGTAATCATTCAGAATCGTTGAAAAATTCGCATTCGGATCTGCTTATTTCTTATATATTGTAGTTTGATAACGATAGACTCTTTACAAAAAAAATATCATCGGAAATCTAATTTCTTAAGTATGCTTTATTTGTACATGACTACTTTAATTAATCTATTGGCAATAGACGAAACTTTTGTTCTCATTGAATTGTCCTATTAATAAAATTGAACTATTAGGTATGAATGAAAGTTAAATCTCCTGAAGGACAAATGTCCATTAAAAATAAAACAACTTTTGGCAACTGACGAAAGCTAGTACAACGATATTTCTGCTTTCTATTATACTTCGCACGATGAAAATTAGTTTTACTTAAAGCTTCTATGAGAACTTTTGTATGTCTTGAGAATATCTTACGATGCAATAGTTTCACTGACGAGAAAAGTATCTGAATTGATACCCGTCGTTTCAACTCATATTGAACTCACAAAGAAGTCTCTGTAAGACTAGAAAAATTCTAACACAATCCAACCCTATGGGCCTATGACGTCGAGTTAGGATCGATTTACTGAGTTATCGATTCAGGCATAAGTATTCATCGACAGATTAAATGACGGAAGTTCGACTTGAAATTTTATCCACAAATATGTCTGGTGACTCTAGAAATATCTTGAAAGCTTCAGCCGAAAATAATGTTCTCTTGTCGAGGTTTTGGGTTTTCCAAAAAATGGTCATTTGACACAAAAATCGAGTTTTACTTGAAAATTCAATATCTAGAAAAGGAAATATTCTTTTTGACTGAAACTTTCAGGATATTCCAAGAGTAATGAGATCTTTCTATAGGTAGAATTTCAGCACGAAACGCCGTTATTTGATTTTTCAGTAAATACCTAAAGCTGGATCGAACAATCAGTAAAATGGTTATAACTCGGCTCCAGAGGTCAATGGGCACGAACGATTTCAAGATTTTTCTACTCTTATTAAAATCTTTATATGAGTTCAATATGAACCCCAACACTACCAAGTACCAGTTCGGATAACTCCCTCGTCAATGAAATATTTTCGTTTTAGTCTTAATCGGATTTTTAACTATTGATCAATGTCCATAAATACACTTACCAAGGTCTCATTTTTCCCCATCTAAATGAACATCGACTAAAAAGATAGCCACCAATAGGATCAGTTAAACCATCAATGAGACGACTAGTAAATAAAATGATTGCATTATAGGCTGGCGATACCTAAAATATTCATTTTATAGAAGTTTGAATGACAATTAAATTAATCGAACTTTAGCAGTATCCAAAAGAAATTCATTTATATAAAAAGCAATAATTGATAATTCCATTGAATAAGGTAAACCAACAGAAGCATAAGCAATTTTAGATAGCCATGAAAGTTTGTCTGATGAACTTGTGTCAGTTGTTTCAGCTATTGATTCTTCATCAGCATATTCTTCTTCGTCTTCGTCTTCGTCTTCTTCTTCTTCTTCTTCTTCATCTTTGTTATAACCATTACGTTTTGTAATTGTATAAGGTGGCGGAGAATCACCTTTATTTCTCTAATAAAAATTTCATCGAATTTTGAATAGAATAATGTTTTAATAAATATTCCTACCACACGTGACATGTCTCTTTTCTATACCCGTAAATAAAGATACCCAGTTCTATATATCAAATAGTTTTGTTGTTTCTTTTGTTATCTTTTGTGTAAGGTGCATCATTTCTTTTCTTTTTGTACGTCTTAACTACATATATATATATATGTAGCTACATGATCGTTATTGTTAGAACTCCATGAGCAGTAAAAAAAAATATCAGATCTAATTATAAACAGAAAAAGGCAACTTTGATCTTCATCATTTAATATAAAAAATTATTTTGCCTATGATACTCTTAAGTAGACGTCTAACAAAGATGATTACAAATTTTTCGAAGAACTGATTAAGTTCTTTCTAATCGTTTTCATTTGTTAATTTTTAGTTCAACATCATCATTTGATGGTTGACGTACTAAAGGATACATCACACCATTTTTATCTAGTATGTAATAACGGACATCTTTTATCGAACGATATATCTCAATTTATTGTAGTTGTCTAGAAACAAAATTTACTCATATATTAAAACAAAATGAGCAAATATTTACATTATCAATGATTAGAATAAGAATATGAAATCTGCAAAAAAAAAAAGCAACAAATGACACGTTGTTCATGTAATGTTATCACTTCAAAAAAATATTTAACTAAAATAAAAACGTATATAGAATCAATTCAATAATCATTTTCAATTTATCATTGATTTTTCAATCGTCAATTGTCGTGAACTCTATGCAGTAAATTAGTATCGTATTCCAACGTTGTAACAATAAACAAAAATAAATGAAAAAATTTTCTTTTTCAATAATATATATATATAGGAGGCTTGTTAAGTCGGATGATGTAACTGCAAATAGGATCTACTAAATTTTGAACTTGACTAGTTATTATGAATAGTTTTTCAAAAGCTGATGTCAGTTTCATATATAAATAAAAATACAAAATCAAGTTTGCTAATAGGCAGACATCGAACTCGAATTCTCGCACGATGTTTAGGACCATTGGTTCGTGCTCGGATTAAGAAACCATTCAGACAGTGCCGGGTATTTACCCACGCATTTCTTGAGGTATATGGATAATCACGAAAGCATCCCAAGATTCAAGTTTGAGTATTTCTGAACACTATTGACTTTTTTTTAAAATTTCTACAGATCTGCGGTCTTCGAATCATTTATTATAGTGTCTGTAGATTTATCATAGCCATGCCTGAAATTCTTTCTTTTGGTTTTCTTTTATTGCCTTGTATTAATTGACCGAAAATGATGGTAGTCAACGCCTAACCCGAACATTCGGATTCAGTGCATTCCTAATCGATAATAAACAAAAAAGAATCATTGTCTTCATATTCAGCAATAAATATTGGATGATTATCAACTATTGATTTATCGTTACCAGCAATATTCACTATTCAGAAATTAGAAGTTCTCTAGAAATCACGAGAAAATGAAAAATCTATACTTTCATAGATATTGCTAAGTATGAAACTCTATTCTATCGTTGGTATGATCATAAATTCCTTGGATGTTTATTGATGTGTAGATCTGTGTGCTACTGTTGCAGTGTAGAGTTCTATAGAATTTCTAATTTTTGGCTCGTGAGTACATGTCAATAGGGCATAACATGATGGAGATTAGTATACCACATATTGCTGCAAAGGGAGTAGGTGTTTAAATCATGGAATAGTTCTTTACGTTTGTTTTTTTTTTTATTAACTATCAAATCGATTTTAATAGCTAGTTGAATTAAGTATCTTTTTTGAGAGGCTTTGAATAGAACATCGCCAATTGGCCTTTTCTAAACTATATAGAAACAAAACATTCGTCTTGATATAAGTCATTGAAGAGTTCAGAAAACAAAAAGAAATTTCCTTCTTGATTGATAAATTACATAATATTCTAATTTGTTTCGGTGAAATCAAACAAGTATACTATGATTACAGACTGTTAAAAACTAAGGCAAGATTATTCTTCAATAGAAATCGAGCGACAAGGACAATTATTCCCAAACACAAAAACTATCAAATCAACAGAGCAACACAATTACATTATACTATGCATTCAAACAGAATTGAATTCTTTTGACATGATATCATCAATAAGATTGAATAAACGCATCAGTTTTATGAGATACAACAAGAAAAATTTTCTATCAGTAAATCATTAAAAAGAGACATGAGAAAATGCATGTTTATCTTCTTGATACAACTATAATGTGATAAAAATAGTTGTATTATTCGATCTCATTCATATTAAAATAGAATATCATCTGAAATTAAGCCATGTTTCATTACATCAAACATTTCAGATAACATTACAGATTATTTATTTAAGTTTATTAATATTCGAATAGATGTAAAAGATGACGTTCATCAAATTAATGTTTTATTTTATTTATCTTTTTGTTTTCTTTTTAACATGAAGAAAAAAAGAAATGAATATTAATGTTATATTTCATTATTTTGAATTTTGAAGAGAAAAGAAGCATGAATATTTATTCCTATCCATTTGTTAGCTCGAGAACCTAAGTTTGTTGCATGTTCTTCATTTTCCACTCCTTTCTCACAATATTTTATTAATTTTAAACCAGTTTTGGCTGCTGTTTCAATGATATGTTCAATAGAATGATCAAAAGATATTCCACATAATTTATCACCAGTTATTTTATCAATAATAAAACCAGCTTGTGAACCAGCTTGATACATATTGGGATGCATAGCTGTGATAAATACCCAACTATAATTAGTTTTTTTTAATATTCTATATATAGTTTTGAAAAATTGTTCGAGTGATGCAATATGTTCGATAACAAGAGTACTGATAACAGCATCAACCGATGAATCATTAATTGATAATTCATTATTATCATTAAGATCATGAATAATCCAAGAGACAGACGGCATGTGTTGTTGTTCTAATTGCTCGACACGTTCTTGAGCCTTTTTCATCATACACATCGATACATCAACTGCAAACTTAAAGAAAACAAAAATTATAAGATAGAACATCTTGAAATCATAGGTTGTATTCATGAATAGAGATAATTTGTTTTTATAAGGAACACTAATTATCTATTGACATAACTCATTTTTTCAATTAAGGCCCATCCGTCAAAAATTGGTCTTGAACTTGGTACACTCAAATTAGATGAAATTTCCAGGATATGTTAAAGTTGTAGTGAAAATACGATGATAAAATTTTCGACCCTATATCATGACATTTTCGGGAGATATTCAATATATAAAGATGAAAAATAGCTGACTTAATAACTTGGAATTCATGGCAGATCTTCATTTTTTGTACCTAATTTTTTTTTTACATGAAAAAGCATGTCATTGTAAGGGCATGACAGAGTGTTTTTTTAATTCTTATTTTTTAATAGGAGAAAACAGATGGCAAGTTGAATGTCTTGAAAAGCTCCCAAAAATATCATCATTCATTTATAGAAGTGCACTTTTATATAATTATAAAAAAAACTTAATTTAATAAAGGAGCTTTGTCATGCTCTACGTCTTAACATGGTCTTTCAAATAAAGAAAAAAGTATTTGGGTAAAATGAAACTATTTTGAGAAATCTGAAATGCGCAATTAAAATAGCGTAAACAGAAAAAAAACAAAAAACTTCCTGCCATTCTAAAAGCAACCTGCTTTTCAAGTAAGTCGTGACAGAAATCATACAAAATTTTTGAAAAAAGAAACAACATGTCAAATAAAAAGTCATGTTGTTCAGGAAAGATCATATCTCGTGCTGTCTTTCAATACATTTAACAGGTAAACAAAAAGCTTTTAGATAACATGTTTGCTCACTTTTAACCTACTAGAAAGTATTTACGACGAGTCAAAAGCTATGATTTTATGCTTCTTTTGGATATGAGCTTAGAAATATTGTCTCGATCGTTTTGTTTGAGAGTAGTCAAATAATATTTGAAAAGTACAAAAAAACTAGTTTCGACGAAAATTTTTGTATTTTTACTACTGCGACTCGAAACTAAAAGTTAGAATCTTTATTGATAAATCAGCTTGTAAATCGGAAGCGACCCTATAAAATTTAGAATTTGGAGATCTTTTTGTCTTTCGACGAGGCATCTTAATTCTCTTTTTTTTCTAGGTAGTCATTTTTGAAAAATTAACAACGGTCTTATGTTGAAAGGAACTCTTGAAAAAATGCTTGAGCAAAAGCTACAGCTTTTTCAATATGACATTTTGTAGAAGAAGTGTTCGTTCTACAAATCGACTGACTCCAACAATTTTTAACGTTTTTGCTAATCGATTTATGGAGTAACGAACAACCTATGGACTTTTCATTAACAATAATTTTTCAGGTCTTTCAAAAAGTTTCTCGCTACTCTCAAACAAAAACCATGACGACATTTCTAAACTCATATTTGAAAAGAAGATAAAATCATAGCTTTTGACTCGTCTGAAATGCTTCCTAACGGGTCAAAAGTGAACAACATTGTTGCCTAGAAGATTTTCGATTATTCATTATTCTAATTTTGATAATTCTGATGGAAATTGACTTGTTTTTCTAGATGGAGGAGAGATCAATTCTGCACGCTATCGTCATTTACTCTCAAATTTATACTACAGCAACGTGTCTTGTTATTCAGTAACTGCTAGAAGTTCTAGTTATAAATAGCAAGAAATTAATGAGGAAATTGCGCATACATCTAATATATTTATTGTTGTGTCAATGTAAGCAATATTAATTATTACACATAGCCCAGTATTAGTTTTGGTTTAATTTGAGTTTTTGGTGGTTCTTAATTTCCTAAGATATTTTCACGTGTAAAAAATCACAATAGATAGCTAACTATCGTCTAAATATTCAAAATTATACTGTAAATGAGAGTGTACTATGTATTACAACAAATTTTGGTTATATCAACACTAAAAAAGTAAATACATTAGACATATTTGTAGTTGTCTCATTAAATGCGATTTATAGCAGAAACTCTCAACATGCATAGAATAATTAGATATGTAGCTGTAATATAAATATGAGACCAAATGACAATACTGTGAAGAGTTAATCGAAAAAATTATTAGTGACATTAGTTTTAACTAGGAAATAAAAATAATATTTTTTATGTATCGTATAAAGTTACACAGGAGCTTTCAGAAGTTATTTCTTCAAGATTTATTGAGATTTTTTTAAAATAAATTCTGGTATCTGTTACTGTTTCTAAATTTATTAACATATGAGGGTGTAGATGTTTTTTATAATTAGTCTGTTGAAGGAATAAGATATTTATTGAATTTTATGCAACAGAATTTCTCATAAAGGTCTCTTTATTACATACTAATCAAAAGAAAGTTCTAAGTAATAAAAAAGAAAGAATTAAATGAAGGTTTGAGCCTTATATATATGACATGAGGAGCAAATGCTGTAATCATTAAACTATTCAGTGTTGTTAATTAGTCGTACAAGTTTTTAGAAAAGTGATTATCAATGTTTAGTTTAGAATGTGTTCGTTGAGGAATTATTTGATATTTAGGAGTTTGTATGACAAATATTGTCATACAATCATATGTTGAGATTACATCCATTATAAAAAAATATTAATCTAACGACAAATTAATTTATATTGAGATATATTTAGATAAATCTTATACATAGGATAGTCCAAAAATTCTGTCATGTTCGTATATTTATTCATAGAAAAGACATTTTGCTCATCTGTTTACAGACAATTTTCGAAATCGTCTCCATTATGTTCGATAAAAATTTCCATCCTGTCAAGTTATTTCTGAAAGATATTCTGGTATTACTGAATAGGTATTTAATTGAGCTCTATATGGTTATTGCTTTACCTAAACTTGTAGCATGTGGATATGTATCAAGGTTATATTTCAAACAACTAAACAATCTAAAGCCTGAATAGGAAAACCGAGGCGTGTATAATGAATGAATCATAACTTAGATTTTTTTCCTCTCAAAGATAATTAAGTTTGAGAAAATATCTTGCATATGAGATTTTGCATTTTTATAATGCAAATTTATGCTATTTGTTGTTGACGAAGTTTCTTTTCTTCTCGAAATCCTCGACTAATATCTCTCAAATAATCATCACGATAGTGCATGTGATAACTATGTCTAAGATGGTAGGTAATATAATCAATATTCATAGATGATTTATCGTTCACTAAATCTTTATTAGCATCAACATTTTGTTGAGTGGTGGTGATCATTGGAGGTTCACTTCGAGGATCATCTTTCATTAACTCTCGCCCACTTGAAAATCGATAAGCCTAATGAGTAACTGTACATACGTTATGAAACAATACTTTATTCATAAGCAGTAGTGAATTCATCATGAATTGGTATAGCAATTAACCCTAGTACTACCAACCGGGGTCCATTTGGACTCCACTATGGGAAACAGAAATTTAACAGAAATATCTTGGAATTTTTTCGTCTTCGAAAAATATTTAACATTTAGCATCGTTTAAAGTTGGCTATAAAAAAATTCATCTTCTTTTTTGATGCAACTTACGAGTGTTTGACATGAGTTCATATCTTGATCAGTTGATGCTTTATAACATTAGTATTTTATCTGTTCACTTAGAAGACCTCATTCAATATATTTGTTCATACTCTCCAACTGTATGGGCCTTAACTGGTCTTCATTTTAACAACAACGTCAATTATCGATTAGCTAATTTCTTCAAATCTCAATATACTATATATTTTCAACATGGATCAAATAAATTCGGTGACATTTGTTTAGCCATTGCTCATCAGCTGCCTCATCAATGCATCTCTCAATTCAGTCACATAGAGAACTTGATTTCTATTGACATCTTCAACAACAGCCAACGATACATTCTTGTGGTTCTTTATATACCACCTTCTGAACATTTACCTACTTACACTCTTAATCATTTGTACGAACGTAATCCTAATTTAATTCCAGTAGGTGATCTGAACGCTCGACATCCTCAATGGTATGATGTGGCTACAAACATGAACGGCTCTCGACTGAATGAATGGATTAATTCACTCCCAAACTTGAAAATATATAATGATTCACAACCCAGGTCAACTCGATCTCAAGCCATTATTGATCTCATCATAGCACCACATCAAATATCATCAGAAATTTCTGAAGTCGACCAAACTATGCAAGTTACAGATCATTATCCTGTTCATTGGCAAATCACATAATTTTTCTTCAATAATTTGAATTCATATGAACTGAAACATATCGATTGGAAACTGATAAGTTGCATTTTAGATTTAAAACAAACATTTTTCTTTAATTTACCTCAACATATGAAAAATAAACCAACTGAATTTATTCTTCTTTATGAAAAATTTCTTGTTGCCTTACAAGAACGATGCACTGATTGTCATCTTATTAAAAAAATATCGACCAAGCCTACCACATTATCTCGTTAATATAATTAAATACCGACGCAAAATGCTGTATCTTTATCGATCGACTAAAGCAAATGAACATCGTCTTTTGCTCGCTTCTCTAAATCGATATATTCAATATGAATTAAGAGCAGTTAAGAAAGCCCAATGGCAAGAATTTTGTTTCAATCTCGAACCACGAAATACTCAAAGTTTTTGGAGACATACTCGAACTCTTTTTCACAAACAAATCCCTAGAATTCAAGGCTTTGTCAATGATGTAGACGATTCTATATTGACTGAAACTAATGCTATGATACAACACGCTTTCAACTACTATTCGACACTATGCAAAGAAATTGAAACATCTTACCAAAATCAAAGTGTTAATGAATTTAAAGCATCATTATTACAAAAACTCCTTGAACTTCCATCTAAGCCATTCTTATTTCATATTGGCGACTTAATTAAATCAATTCGTCATCTTAAAACAAAAACATCAAGTAGTCATGAAAAAGTCTCTAACAAATTGTTAAAGTCAATCCCGATATCTCATTACGGTTTTATTCTTCAAATTTTTAATCAGCTGCTTATTCATAATGAATATCCTCAACAGTGGAAATTATCAAAGATGATTCTATGACCCAAAGATAAATCAACTATTCTAAACATAAACAGAACGCGACCTATCTCACTCTTACCATATTTAAGTAAGGTATACGAACGATGTTTTCTTGTCTATCTTTTTCAGTGGGTAAACAATACTGGGATTCTTCCATCGGAACAATCCGGATTTAGACAACATCATTCTACCACCACAAGATTTATACAATTTCTACAGGATATTACCACAGGTCTATTCTCCCTCTGCCAAAAAAAAAAGGTAATCTTTTCGATTCATTTTTTCATCACCTAATACGCTGTATTAAAAAAAACAAAATACACCACAAGATGCAGCGTGAAAAGCTCTACAATTTACAAAGAACAGCTTATTCCATAGTTGCACTTTTTTTCTCAAAATGGACAAAACTCTGTGCGACTAATTCTTCACGCTGCGAACAAAATCCTTTTTTGTTACACAATCAATTTCTTTTCTTATTATTTTGGTTAATGAGTTGTATCGAAAGTCATAATCGATGGCTGAACAAAGGGATTAAATTAAAAACAATGTTTCATTAATTAATGACATAAGAAAAGGAATTGATCGTGTACCAAAGAACTATTTTTTTCGAAGTGCCAAAAACTAGTGTCTCAAAATTTTGTCCATTTTGAAAACAAAAAATCGCAATTATAACATAAGCTGTCCTTTGTAGATTGTAGAGCTTTTCACGCTGCATCTTGTGGTGTATTTTGTTTTTTTAATACAGCGTATTAGGTGATAAAAAAATGAATCGAAAAGATTAACTTTTTTTTGACCGAGGGAGAGTATATTACTATAGAAGATGAGAGATTGAAAGCATCACACAACGTCTCATGTTCTTCCCTACAGTGTATGATTATTTATTTTTGTTATTTTGAATAAATCAAGTTTTCTTTTACGCTTGCTATTGCAGTTTATTTTTGTGTTTATGATAATAATGAGTGATAGATCGTTTACTTTCATGATGACTCGGTATTATATAAAATATCTACAAGATATAAAAAGAAAAATACTAAATAAAAGGCTCATATTGTTTTCCGAAATTAGAGTTAACTGTTGCGTTAGTCAAACGAAAATAAATCGAAAAAAAACAAGTGATTTTGTGTGAGTCAAAAGACAAAGGTTTAAGAAATGTTCTATATTGTAATTATTTATTCACCGGTTCTGTTATGGTTAATATTTGTCGTGGAGATTTCTTATGAATAAAGTATATAAGAATACGAAGAGTAGTTGGCTATTTTTATTCAGAAATAACCTACCTTTGATTTATACACTCTCTCCAGATGAAAAATAAGTTGCAAGTTGTTTGTTTCGTAGAGCTTATTGACTAGTTTCTGCGGAATTATGATCCCACTTCATCAAAGTCTTCAAGAAAGAATACTTAAAAAGTTAACGAAAAAAGCCGAAGGGCCGAATGGGCCGCCACTCAGCGTGTGGGTGGATGTGGGATTGAGGGAAGAGAATGCTCATATTCTCACTCTCACCCATACATGTGAAGACGATCGAAACTGATCTTATCTGATTCGATGGTATGTCATGCCGTCATTGGTTTCATCGATCATCTGGTCGACAAAAAATCAGACGTATGGCATTTTTTATTGACGCTCTACCGAATTGATTTCACCAAAGTTTCGCACAAGAACCATTAGTTTCATATGACCTAAGATCTATCTTGGTTCATCCATTTGACAAAAACAAGAATACTTCAAAAATAATAAAGCAATTGCTGTAAGGAAAAGGAAAAATATGTTCCGTGCAGGAATCGAACCTGCGACCTTCTGTGTGTGAGACAGATGCGATAGCCACTTCGCTAACAGAACAATATGCATCGTAAATCAATTTCTATTCATTTCAAATAAGGGTGTGGGTGTGAGTCTTCTATTCGCCCACACCCACACGCTACTACTATTTCAGGTATAAAAAACATTTTTTATCCTAGAAGAGATATTTTTCGTTTAGTTATTGTCGAAATACGAAAAAAATTCAATGAAAGTCTATTTTTCCTGAAAAAAGTTCTAAAAAAATCTGTTAATATTTGGATTGATGCAAATGTTTCACCTTCAATTGTTGAAACTAATAAATTAAAATAAAGTGCATCTGAGATTCGAAAATATCAAGTGATTTAATTGTGATATATTATATGCTGCTTTATGGAGTTTTCGTAAAATTAATTATTAAAATAATAATATTTTATTAAAAGAAGTTAATTAAATGTTTTAGCTAAATATGTAATATTATATGATTCAATTGAAGTATATGTATGAGCACCAAAAACCTTATCATAAATTAATGACACTTAAAGTAATTAATCAATTAACATATCGTTGATTATTAATTGACTTAAATACTGAAGAAGGTTCACATTTAAAAATTATTTATGGTTTATCATAGAGTTTTCATGCTGTTGATCTCGATACTAGTAATCAAATTTATATTTATTCACTTTCACAAGTATTTTCTACTACTTTAACTACTTTAATTAAAAATCTTTCTTTTTTTATTTATAAAATAAAGTTAAATGATTCAGTTGAACCACATGCAATTATTGTCCTTCCAAATACAAATGGAATACAACTTCTTCTTTGTTATAATAGTATTTTATTCTTGAAAAGTTTTCTTAATAATAAAATTAATTTTTTTTAGACGAAGGAGTTTATTCTGACACACATAGAAAAAGAACGAAAGATATTTTATTACAATGGGAAGAATTACCTACTTCTGTTGGTTAGTTTTTTTTATTATTTTATTCTTTCTTTAAAAAAACTTTTTATTAAAGCTTATATAAGTGATGGCAAATTAATGAGATGGGGGGATAAAGCTATTAAAACACGGAATCTTGATTCAGCTACATTAGATGAAGTTTTTATGCATAAAAGAGTATAAAAATTAAAGTAAGATTTTATTTATTTATTTAAAAATAACTTTTTTTTTGTAATTACAGGTATGTGAAAAAAATGAAAGAGTAGTTTTTTCTTCAATTCGGAATGGATCATAATGTCAGACTCATTTTATGGCTCTTAATAAAATGAATTCTTGGCAATTGAATTTATGCATTATATGATATTTTATTTCTAACTTTTCTTTCTCAAATTGTATCTCGACCATCAGCTTTTTTTTTCTTTTTAATTCATGTTTATTATATTATTTCGTTTCGATTAATAATAAATTCATTTACAACAATTATTTTTATCATTTTAACGAAAAAGAAAAGATATACACAAACGATATTCAATTTATCTAAAGTAATTATTCAATATTCATTAAACAAAAAATAATATGATTTAAATAAGAAAACATTCAATCATTATTTTTATCTTTAAAAAATTATAATTATAAATAAGCTTTGGAGAACATTCAATTTACTCTTTAATTCACTTTTAAACTTTAAAATCGAGAAAACATTTATTTAAAATGATTTTATTTAGAATACAAAGAAATCAATTCAAATTTTAAGTCCCATCATATTAAACTGTTCTTCTTTTGATGAATTTTCTTAAACGCTGAGATCATCAAATGGGTGTGGGTGTGGGTATGGATGTGCATGCGTTTTTCTAAATGTTTCCATATATTATCAATCATCATCATTCTTCACATACAATATATGTAAAACATATACAAATCATTGATTCATCTTCGGTTCAATTACATAGACACAAATTTATCCATAACGTCATTCATTTATGTTTCTCTTTTCTTCTTTTTTTCTTTTTCTTTTTTCCTTCTTTCTCATTTCTCACTTCAACTATACATCATATAACTGACCTTATTTCACTTGATAAATGTTTTAATTTTTTTCTTTTTTCTCTATATGCAACATATGAACCATATACAAGTCATTTAATCAACTATATTCAGCTGTATAGACACTTCTCTAAATGTGATTCTTTAATCTTTCTGACATCAACCTAACTTGTACAAAACGTAACTCACTACCTATTTCTTACTTTATCTTCTCTTTTTGTCTAACATTTGTTATTAATATTCTTTAAATGATTTGTTTCATTTTTAAGATATTTTGAAAAAAACTCTTTATGCCGAAACACGTGTCAATAAAGTCTTCATCTTAAAAATCGCAAATCTCTTATTCAGACTTTTCTAAGTCAGAATTCTCCATATCAATAAACTGGGTGTGGGTGTGGAGTGTGGTTGTATTCTGTTTATTCACACTCACACCCACACCCACACCCTGTCGAAGAAAAAGAAAAAGAGATGAACAAACTACTTTAAGTCACTGCTAAAAACAATAATCATCGGAAAAGAACTATTCTATCAACTTCACTCCACTTATTCCTCTCCAGCCGTCTTCTACGGACAGCCCAAAATTCATAAAAAAGACATCCCACTACGTCCGATCATCTCCACTACAGCTACATATAATTACCGTCTATCACAACTCCTAGCAAAAATTTTGACTAAAGAACGAGAAAAACCACCCTCCTTCAAAAAAGACAGCTTCGAATTTCAGAAGAAAATCACAAAATTAACATCCGACAAAAATGAAGTTCTAGTTAGCTTCGACATTGAAAGTCTATACACGAATATTTCTGTCTCAGAGGCAATTGAAACTGCATTAGATCTACTACAGAAAAACGGAAAAAACCTGACTATCCGTATGATCGATCTCAATTTAAAAAGCTATTAGAATACTGTTCTCTAAATGTACCATTCAGATTTCTTGAAGACAACTATGGACAAGTAGACGGTGTAACAATGGGTTCCCCCATTGTTCCTATTCTTGTAGACATTTTCATTTCAAAACTTGAAGAAAAACTTAATTGATTCACCGCTAGCAAACCAAAAATATGGTACCGATATGTCGATGATGTTATATGTATATTTAACAAAAAGCAGAACACTAGTGACTTTCTCTCCCGAATTAATACATAGCACCCAAACATTTGATTCACGAGCGAATACGAAAAGAAAGAACATCTCCCTTTTCTTGATCTATTAATAATTCGTTAGAACGATAAATATGAAACATCAGTCTACCGAAAGCCAACAACTACTGATTTATAGCTCCTCTACGACAGCAATTAGACCAGAAAGTATAAACTCGGTCTAATAAAATCTCACTACTACAGATCACTACAGCTCTGTTCAAACGAAACTTATCTAAAAATCGAAAGAGAACATCTGATAAAAATCCTACAACAAATCGGCTACCCAGTGCACATCATCAGAAAAGGGATAAGACAAGCAAATGCAATCCATAAATGACTAAATAATCTCTCACCTCAGCCTCAGCCTCGAACACCAAAACAGAAAGAAATATACTTTGTCCTCTCATACTACGGTCAAGAATCCATTGAACTAGGACAAAAAATACGAAAGCTCTGCAAAAAACTACTACCAAACTTAACTATCAACTTTGCATACAGAAAATCAATGACTCTACACAATATATTTCTCCCTCAACAAAAAGGAAATGGCGAAACCAAGAAACGAAAGAAACTAGTATATGCTATAAACTGTAAAGACTGCGATAAAAAGTACATTGGAGAAACTAACCGAAAAATGCTGACTAGAATGAAAGAACACCGGAATGATATCAAAAAAGATAAACTAACATCTGCCATTGCTGAACATTGCAATACTAACAACCACACAATGGATATCGATACTGCTGAGACATTGACATTAGAATCAACTTAGAAACGCAGAGTCATTAAAGAAAGTCTACTTAGTCACCTTGCACATGATACAGCAATAAACGAAGTAAAATATAAACTCAAAGTGTTTGGATAGCACCTTAAGGTGCTGCTTTATATGCTTGACAACGCCTGTTCTAACGAACAGAATGAGCGCTCATTCAAATTAGTTTACTCACTCAAATAAAGTCGGCACATACATATATAATCTACTCATTCACATGCAATCGTCATTCTTTATCTATTTTTCATTCTTCTTTTTCTTAACCTGTCTTTCTGTACTGTTCATGTTGTAACCACGTATTTATTCTGCTGATGACAAAAGAATATTTGTCGAAATATCAATAAATAAATACGGTGTGATTAGCCATATCACGATGTTTGTTACAGTTTTATACTTCATTCTCTCAATTTCTCCACTTTATAGTAAGGTTTTCTAAGTTTCTCCTGAAGAGCACAAATCTTTTTCAACACTACGTGTAAAATATGACTGATTATCTGAAGTTCGATGAGATACAAATGTGAAAGAGACCGTTGGTGACGAAGGTGAAGAAACTATTATCACATCATTTTTTAAATGTTTCCTTTCTTTGAATTTCTCTTAAAGATGCCAAAGATGAAGAGCTTCAACTTGAATAAGATCATCTTTCTAAATTTTCGCCTTCGCGAGACGAATGACTCCATTCTTCCTGCTACATCTCCGGTAACTTGAAGTGCTTAATCATTTGTATTGCAAATTTTCGTTTATTTAATGAAAATAGTGTTGTTCATAACAAGAAAAACTAGCAAAAATAAGCAATAGGTTGAAGAAAACTAATCTGCTAGAGTCTTCTTGTTTTCTATCGAGAGTTCAGTTTTTTATGAACATACAACTGCAACATGCATGTTACCGGCACATTGGTGCTCAAATAATTTTGTTTGTGTGCAGCTTGATAGATTAATTGCGTTTGCTGGACAATTAGAAAAACTTTGTAGAAATGTGCATCCAATTTCTAATTGATCTTGCCCATATTGAAAAAAGCATTTATTGTTTGGTGCATTTGGATTTGATGGTGGTGGACGATTGACTAGGAAATCAGCAAAACCTTGATTTAGTGAACGACAGACGGCATCTGCTGCATTTTGATCAAAACCATTTTGACATACAGAGCCTTCCACAAAGAAATGATCTCTATAACCATTTGTTGGATCTGTTATTTCAACTTTTGCACGAATACGCAGTGGACTAGGAATGAGTACTTGAACATCAACAACTTTACGTGGAAATGCCATAAGATCGTACAATTTAGAACATGTGTCTTGAAATATGCCTCTTGTTGATGGTGTATCACCTCCTAGACCTTTAATGATTTGTGGACCAAACAATGACGAATCAACTAGCTGTGAACCAATAACCAGAAGAAGAATGACACCGATGAATTGCATGTCTAGATCGATAAAAGGTGCTACGCAACACAAAAACACCAACATCAACTAATTTGAAATAATTGTTAAGATACATACCTTCCGATTTTGTATAGAAAGATTGTGTGATGTGTGTTGTTTTTCTTGATTTTCTCACGTCTGAGAATATAAGAAGCCTCTGCGATTTAGCGCCGTTAAACTACCCTTTATAGACAATTTATTTTCTTACCCAATATCATGCACTCTTGCTATCACTTCCTCAGTCATTTTTATTACTTTTTGTAATCTTTGGAGAAATTTTTAGGCAAATAAATTATTTTCTTAGAAAACATTTATTATGTTTGTTATCTTCCTTCGAAGAATTTCGAAGTAAATAAGTCATTCTCTTAAAAAACATGTATTATAAAGTGGGTGAATTCATATAGAACCTACCATCATTACATCTACCAGTTAAGTAATTGACGAAGAACTCATTTTCTGATGTAGTCTTGGATCTTAAATTCAAGGACGAAAATCTGAACTCGCTATCTTTTTTCAAAAAAAAGTAATGTGAAAAATACTTTCACAGGAGAAGATGCTGATTTTTTCTGATTTTCCAGCGAATATGGGTTCTGTTACAAAGCATCCAGCTTCCAAAAAAATGTGCTGTAGAACTTTTGTCCAGTGTCAACTGAAAGACGTCGTCAAGACCTATACAAATTTGCTATAAAACTTGAAGCGAAAACTGAATACTAGTCCGAAAGATCTCTGAAAAAGTAGATTTTTGTACAAATCTCTAGGACTTAATCGATCATGAAACTCTTTCCCAACCAGACCATTCAAAAGACTGTCGAATTCTGAAACAAAGTGAGACATACCTAACTTTCTACGGCATTTCGCTGAAAAGGCAGAGCCCTTTACAGAAATGCTGTAAAAAGCTAGTTGACGTCTCATTTCGTTTAAAATACGAAGGGCTATCAACCCATATAGTTTAGAGCGAGTTTGTAGGTCGCCAAAACCTTGAAGATTTCCAGAAAACCTTGTCTTTTCATTGTTTTTTTAACTTGATTTTGGGTACTAGCGCCATTCTGCTAGGATAGTAGTTTTTGGATAACGCTGTCTCGTAAAAAGGTAGCGAGGCTAAGTTTTGGCTTCTGGTTTCAGCATCCAAAACTACATCAGAAAATAAATTTATTATTACTGGCGTAATTGCTTTTTTTGCATAACATTGTGACCCTTTGTGGAATCACTCTACAAGTACGTTATTAAAAAACGACTTTGAAACCATAAATCTTACGGTACTTCGATGTTTATCGCTATTTCATAAAACATTCATCTTCAAATTTTGCAAAGCAAATAGTAATAAAGATTTTTTTCTAACGAGTGATGTCAACACTGAGCGATAACAGTTCTTAGACAAAAGAATACGTAAGACTTTGAAATCATAAATATCACAACAGAAGTAAAATAATCATAAAATAGTAAAAAAAGAGTTGCCTCAGAGAAAGATCAGGTGATGAACTCTACATGTAAAAAATGACAGAAATTGACAAATAGACCAGACTCACATTGTAGTGTTTAAAGTCCTAGAACTTCTTTCCAGAGATTTAGTGAATCAAGTTTTTATTATGGTAGTGAACCTTGAGGAACTTCCTTTGACATAGGTTTTATTTACTGTTAAAATAAGACTGCATTATTCTTCTGAGAGATACGGAAGAGAACGAGATGGGCAAAACATAGGCATTGAATTGGTTTGAGTCTACGATAGGCTCAAATTTTTGGCCAACCTAGCTCTGCGAGTGAATGGAAAGGACTTTTTTGTTTGTTTAAAACAGTAAGCCCTATAAGTTTTTGTGCTAGATTGAAATTCTATAGAAGTACGATACACATCAAATACTTTATTGTCTCAAACGAAATGAAGAAATAACAGACTAACAGAGAGATGTTTTTTAAGAACTTTAAAAAATGACTTAGAAAAAATAAAGCTAGTTATAACTGAAACATGATTTTTGTTTTGAGTTTTTAAAATAAAATCTGACCAGATACTGTTCAGATCAAGTAAGTCTAGTTTTTCTGTATAAATATGAGAAATAATACTATGGTTTAAATATTGTTGAGTCGTTGTGTACTGTAAATATGATCTATCCGGTTCATAAAGCTAAAACCTTGTTCAGCAGTAAGCATTATTACAAGCATTGTAACTATAAAAATAACAGTTCACTATATTCGCAAAAAATTCATTTTTACCAAATTGATGCACATTTAAAAGCTCACATATGTTGTTGAAATGTGTCTTAGAAGTTCTAAAACGATTTAATAAATCATCGTTTTCACATTCGACAAACGTAGGGTCTTTGAAACTTTATCGGATATTTATAGATTCTTAGTATTACATAACTAGGAAGTTTGACGTCTATAGTTTTTCTATGGCTGAGAACCTGTAATAACATTGCCATGCACTATTTACTCAATTTTCTTGATCATTTTGATCGTTATTCTAAAAAAAATACAACTATTGCAAAAAAAGACAAAATAAATTATCAATGTTTCCGTATTTGCTTGTTACCTTGATTGATTACTAATTTTAATCTTGTTGCTATGTTATTCATCATTTGTAGAAATAAATAAATAAATACTAAATTTGTTATATTCCTTTTTAGTGTAGTTTTGAATTGTTCAATATTACTGTATTACCCGGTTTTGTTAATTTTTCTCTTAATGCACGCCAAACGTTTTCTAAATGTTTTTTGTAGACCTAATGTCGGTTAGTTTTGCAGAACAGCTTATTCGATTAATCTGATTGATGAAGAACATATTTAATGACACCTAAAAACATCTCTTTGTTTTTGATCTTCTCGATCTTGAAAAATAATATTTCGTACATTACCTAATTCCTTAGGTACTTTTTCAGCTATAGTAACCTGAATGCTTTTTTGAATGTCTATCTCTAGTAAAATTAATTTCTTACACCGATCATTACCTTGTGATTTGATGAATTCTAACTGTTCATTGATAAAAGTTGTGTTGCCACAGATTCTTTACCATATTATTGTAAAAATAACGTAGAATAATAAATCTTTACGCTTACTGTGATTTTTCATAAACCCTTAAAGAGTTTATGAGTCGAAGGGTTTACGAAAGTAAAGATATATGAAAATGAAAAGGATTCATTATCCAGGTGTTGATGGTGTAGGGTTTATCATTATGGAAACTAAGTTCAATGCTTGAGGTTGTGAGTTTGGGCGTTGTTCTCTGTTTCAATAAGATATCCACACCCACACCAAAACAATTGAAGATCCTTCATGTTGTTTTTTTATCTCAACTTATATAAAGGATTATGATTTGTGATTTTAACTGCGATCAGGGTTCACTAAACTCTACTTGTTGTAGGAGCTCCACAGCAAACAACTGCTATATGAATGGTTTTTTATCTAGCTGCAAGACTTTTGTCTACGACTATAAGTAACTTAAACGAAAATTACACGATCTAAAAGTGGACAAATCGATCCGAAAATTTTTTCCTATCAGCTTTTATCTAAAACTACTATTTTTAGACCTTCTTTCTATTACTTGGTATATAGTCGGGCGCGAAAGCAAGCAGAAGAAGAAGTGCGGTTATAAGTTTCTCTCTTCTAGATCTTATTGGAACCTGATGGCTGTCATCCCATTCTTGTTCAGCTTGTTTTTCCTATTGGTTGGGAAGCAATATCAAATCTACAGTGAAGGAGCACCCCACCAAATAAGGCCATTAGTAAATTGCAAATATTATTACTCTCTCCTTCTCTATCCACGTACAATAGCTAATATTACAATTGCAAATTTCTCTCCTCTGAAAGTGAAAGCCACTTTTCACGTTCCTTATCTATATGAAACATTTTCTCTCAGCGGTATGGTTTGTCAACGTGGATTTTCCGTCTCCACAGCACGTGCACTCTGTAGTTCATTGGGCCATACACAAGCTAGTATTGTAAGAAATATGACATTCGATTCAAACGAGTCGTGTGAGTTTCAGTATGACGATGAACTAGTCGACATTCCCTGTCAATTTATTTTTGATTCATTAACCTGCACGCGAAACACTACTACTAATGGTCTTTTGATATGCACATTTGCATCGGAAATCAGTAAATTTTGTGACTCTAATTCGCACATTGGACTAACTTGTTATACCCCTACTACGACTTCTCGAAGGACCTCAACAAAAACACAGCCGATGACAATGATATCTTCGTCATCAACAATATCAACAACAATGGAAGCCGAGGAAACAACCGTTTTAATGAAAAATAAGCATACCACCATTGCGATGACAGAAGATTCAACCGCACTTTCGACTGCAGAAAGTCCTACGACATTTCCCATGGTTGATGAGTATACAGCGGGAATTCGCTTATCATCATCAACGACAACCAAAGCCGTCACGTTCAATAGTGAAATGGAGTTCCTAGCTCATGAAACGAGCAACTCAGATGAATAAACTATCGACCCATACTCACACATTTTATCTTTCAAACGTCCGTTTTATGAAATCTTTGATTTTCTTTCAAGAAATTAATGTTTAAAAATGTGACTTTACGAGAACACCTGTGAATCCATCGAGTATACAAAGTACTCGACAGAAAAGGATTCGATTTTTTATGGGCATGCGCAAGCGCATGATCTGTAACGAGGAAACCCAAACTTTTAGCTCATTTGAATGTTCTATAGAAAAATTAGTCTATATCGACTTTTTAAAGCTGACAGTCCACTATGAAAAAAAGTCATCATCTTTCTATAAACGACCAACAAGATTGTATTTTAATAACTCAAAGAATTTTTTTTATCCAATATATCAAAACATAAACCATGAAAAACTAAGAAAATTGAACTATATAAAAATTGTGTATTAACTATTTACTGAGTTAACATAGATCGAAAAGATGTTCAGCGGGTTTATAATTTCTCATCTTGAGCAGTAGATATACTTTCATTTTTTGAAGTTAAAAGATTCCAGGCTGAATTCTTGTTATGATATATAATTTTTGATGCTCAACAAAACTCTGAAATAGTATTGAAAAAAAAAGCTTCCTCTTGGTGTGAAAAATGGCTTGTCCTTTTAATAGTCAGTAAAACAACCTCGGAAGATACAATCTCGGATACCTTTCAGTGTCCTTCATTGATGAAAATGTTTATCTGTTTATTTGGGAAAAAACAATACTTCATTCTGAATAGAATGATGCAGACAGTTCTCTGGAAAATAGAAAAGAAAAACTTCGAATCTCTATACATCTGAGGAGAAGTACGGAAATTTAAAAAAAAAAATTCTCATGTTATTTGTACATAACAGTTGGCGTGGATCATACGGCTGTGATCAGCAGCCCAAGCTCTATCATCTTCGATGAACAGTATTTGATTACATAAGGAAAAATAGTTTTCGAAATTCTCCTACCCCTTTGCAGATGTATAGAGGGTCGAAATTTTTCTTTTCTATTTTCGACTCCGGATAGATGTGGCATTCCGTTATTAATTTATCAGATATCCAAAGTCTAATTAAAAATAAATTTTAATTTTTTGGAATGTCTAGATTTAATTTTCTCGACTGTAGGGAGGGTCATATGAAATAAAATGTGTTTGTGTGTATGTATGGGTCAAGGTCGAAAAACATCAGAAGCAACCTTTAATTAAGTGTAACTTCTAAAGTTTTCCCAGAAATAATTGATGTGGGAAAATCCACATCTAAGGTCAAATTTTATATCCAGTATTCCTACACAGTGAAAAGTGTTCCAAAAAAACTGGAAGAGAACACGTTTGTTAGATTAGAGAAAGGTTTCTTGTCCATGAAGATCATGTTCCATAATTTACTGAATGCGTTCATAATCTACAAGAATACGTTCTCTATTTGAAGAAACGCATTCTTTGCTGTTTCTCACGATTATAGAATGCTTTCTTCTCGGTCCTAAATCGTTCCTGATCTGAGCAGAAAACGTTCTAAACCGTTCTATTAATTATGAGAATGGTTTCCTTGTCGTTCGTCTTTGGAAAGGTAAGGAACGGATTTCTTCAAAATGGGATGGCTTTATTTGATATTCTCTACAGAATCGCTCAAGAATAGATTCTTCGAGTTGATGAATCAGTTCAAGACGATTCAACATCCTTCTTAGAAAAAAAAGAACGTGTTTTCTGTCGTTCCACTAAATATCTGATCGGTTTCAGTGGATTCAAAAATCAATTTTGGAACTATAAAATGCGCTCTCGTTCGTTGCATAAGGTCAATTGGATAAATTCCTACATTGAGAAAGAATATTGATTCGTTCAGGTATTCTTCCTCAATGTTTTCAAAACAATACTTTTTCTCTCATTTTTTTTCTTGATTAAAACTGATCAACATAATTTTCTGTCATGCTTTATGAGCAACTATCTCCAATATTCACTCTTAACTGCCAATATCGAGACATTGTGGATTTCCAAAAATGATACAAACTGCAAAAAATATACACAAAAAATGTGAAGTGAAATTAAATATATTACGAAAATTCAGATTTGTTTGCAAAGCAAAGAAATATGAAGTGTTCGGTTCAGTGCAGAAACAAAAAAACAAAGAAATTTATTAAACAATTATAAAAAAGTATTTTCTCAGTAGAATTGTTTTCAATCTACTATTGTGTTTAATTTATGTAGCATTTTATCATTAAAAAACAATAGCCAAAGTAGCATAAAGTGTCTTTCCGTGTATTCGAATATTTTTTTGTATGGAAAAAATATGTGGCGCCACTAGTCTCAACATTTCAACAAATAGAAATTCGATTACTTTTAGATAGATGGATAGGATAAATAAATAGAATGGGATAAGTATTTGGGGTAATAATAAAATACTGAAAAAATATTATTGGTTAGCTATGATCAATCTATGATTCAAACCGATGATAACAAATTGTATTTTTTCGGTTTCTTTTTCTGTCTTTTATTATTGCTCAAGTTCATAGGATAGAATAGGTAGATAGGATACAATAGGATAGATATCAGGTATTGCATAAATAGCATCACGATAAAAAATTCAAATATCTCCATTCCGGTTCAATCAAATGGGATGATTTTTTGGTTCGTAGTAGAACTTTATTCAAAATTTTTTTTCATATGGATAATGTAACCAAATATTTCTATTAAGTATTGTTGTTGATCTTACTAAAGAAATTTTATCTATTATCAAGTAAAAAAATATATGTAAAGCATTCCATAGATAATTTTTAGTTGTTACTTAAAAGAACAGAAATCAGAATTCAAAACAAACTTTATGAATGATGCAGCATTGATGCAAATAGACCAAATTTTCAGAACTAGCTTGTTTAAATGCTAAGATTTGTGTCTGAAAACTGAAACTCACAATTCAGATGCTTTGGACACCGAATCACCAACTTCTTCCAAAAAAACTCAGTAATCGATCGTTGAAAACTGGAAGTATTGTACTCATTAGCTTTTAAACTAATTACTTTCACAATTTGGTCTATTCGCGTCAATATTGCATCATTCATGAAGTTTGTTTTGAATTCTGCTTTGTGTTCTTTTAAGTGACAACTAAAAATTCTCTATGGAAGGCTTTACATATATTTTTCTTACTTGATCATAGATAAAATTCCTTTAGTGGAGCGGCAATAATACTTAACAGAGGTATTTGTTTACATTTCCCATAGGAAAAAAAATTTTGAATAAAGTTCTACTATGAACCAAAAATTATCCCATTTGATTGAACTGGAATGGAGATATTTTAATTTTTTATCGTAGTGCTCTTTATGGAACACCCTGTAGATAAGATAGATAGACATTTTGGCTAAATAAATAAAGGGTGTTCCAAAAGTCTTGGGTCCTCTCAGAAAAATTGTTCGTTCCCCCATATAGTAAACTCAAAAATGCTCAAACTCTGGTATCTTATCCCTTGTAAGTAGGCGAATATTACCCCAAAGTTTCATGTCTCTAGCCCTTATTATAAGGCAGATATATAGGCTAACATTCTAGAAATCTTATTTTTCCATGTCCAAAAAATAATGGTTGGCGCATAGTACATGTACATGGGTCACTTTTGCGTTTCATTTTTCCACCACTTCATACGTTCTATTAAGAAAACAAAATATACCACACGATGCAGCGTGAAAAGCTCTACAATCTACACAGTAAAGCGCATTTTAATTATGTAATTTTTGTTTTCAAAAAAAGCAAAACTCTGTACGATTAATTTTGCCATTGCAAAAACTGATCGCGCAAAGTTTTGCTTTTTTTTTGCAAACAAAAATTACATAATTAAAATGCGCTTTACTGTGTAGGTTGTAGAGCTTTTCACGCTGCATCTTGTGGTATATTTTAATTTTTCTCAATAAAATGTATTAGGTCACAAAAAAGTGAAAAAAAAAGCGAATTTTTCGTTCTTGTAGAAAAAGAAGATTTTTTTACGACGACGAAAATTGATTGCATAGAGTTTCGCTTTTTTTGGAATCAAAAACTATATAATTAAAATACAGTTTACTGTGTAGATTGTAGAGCTTTTCATGCTGCATCTTGCGGTATATTTTGTTTACTTATAATGTGGTGAGAAAATGAAACGCAAAAGTGGCCCATTTATTATGCGCCAACCATTATTTTTAGGACATGGAAAAATAAGCTTTCTAGAATGTTAACCTATATATCTCACTTACAATAAGGGATAGAGACATGAAACTTTGGGGTAATATTCGCCTACTTACAAGGGATAAGATACCAGAGTTTGAGCATTTTTGAGTTTACTATAAGGGAGAACGAACAATTTTTCCGAGAGGACCCAAGACTTTTGGATCACCCTTTAGGATATGATAGATATATAGGATCGATAGAGAGACAAGATAGGATAAATAGATAGTTAAGATAGGTAGATAGAATAGATACATGGATAGGCTAGATAGCTAGGATATGTAGATAGTTAGCACAGGTACATATCAAAGATGGATAGGATCGAATAGAATAGATAGGATAGGAAAAGTAAATAGGATAAGGTAAATAGATAGGATAGCATAGGTAGATAGGTAGCTAAGTAGATAGATAGGTATATTCCGATCAGATCGGGTGTGAACAATCTGCTCAACTTGTAATCCTTTAGTCATCGTTTGCAAGCAGAAAGCATAAGAACATGTTTTGAAAACATGACAGATCTTTTTTTAAGAAAGGAAAACGTTTTAGAAACTGAGACATGGGTTCTTCGCTGTTCTGAACCGGAATGAATGTCAAGAACGCGTTCTGAAAAAGTAAAAAACGTTTTTTAAGAAAGAAAACAGTGACTCTAAAACACGGAATCCGTTCTCCGCCGTTTCATTTTGGAACGGTTTCCAAGTTTCGAAAAATCTTTTTTGTCTAAAAAAAGTTTTTATTATTATTCGGAATGCGTTCCTTACCGCTTTTTTTGGAACATTTTTCACTGGGTAGTCAAGCGATCAATCAGAAATGATCTTTTTAATTTCAACTCTTTGGCTGGAGGAATTCCGCATGGGGTTGCAGTAATTTTCTTACATTTTGAAACACGCAGATTTCTATGTGGCGTGGGCGCGATTGTCTGGAGGAAGGCTGTGGAATGGGTTAGGTGGAATAGATGGCTTTCACTGACATCCTAACGATTCTGACTAAACAGAAAAGACCTGGGATAAGGCTTTGATGAAGGATATCATGTTTAACAAGTAACTCCAGATAAAATAAAAGTCTTCTTTAACACTAAGCATTCTTGACCAAGTATTTCTGAACACGATTATTTCCATGATCGACTATGTACATATTTCCTTGTGGGTCAAATTTTAGACTTGTTGGATTATACAATTGATTTGGATTATTGCCTGAGCCACTTCCTACAAGTACGGCTGCTACTGTAAGCTCTCCTATATTCCATTTCAAAGTTCGATTATTGCCGCTGTCAGCTATAAACATCGTACCACTATCGACAAATACTGCTCTAGGACTATTTAATTGACGTAAACCTGATCCTAAATATGAAGTTCCTGCGATTGTTGTTCCGTTTGAAGTACCATACTTCCAGAGTTGTATTCGATGGTTCAATGTATCTGCTACATAGACGTTTCGGTTTACATCAACAAAGATACCTTCAGGTGCTCGAAGTTGGTCTGAATCTGATCCCACACCGTTACCCCCAGCCACTATAGTAAAGTTTCTATCAATATTCGACCATAAAATGACGCGATGGTTACTTGTATCACATATATAAGTACTTCCTTCGAAAGCAACCAGGCTGTAGGAACGGCTAATGTGTCCACTTGGTACAACGATACTCGGTTCACCCCCAGTTTTTTTGATGCGTTGGATAAGCTCATTACTGCCACTTTCTTGTGAAAAATAGATAGCTTGTTCTTCTTGATTTAATGCAAGTCCATATAATCTATCCCTTGTGAAGAGAGATTGTCCTTCAGTGGAATGATTGACAAATATTAGTAGGCGTCGATTTGATGTATCCGATACGTAGATATTTTCATTATCGACAATTAGATCCCGTGGGTCATAGAGATGATCGCAAGCTTGGCCGTTCTCACCGTTTTGTGCACCAGCAATTGTCACGCCATTTTCATCCCAAGTTAGGCGACTGAGATTAACTGAAATGGCAGTAGTGATCGTTGTCCTCACTGTTGTTGTTGTTGTTGTTGTTGTTGTTGTTGTTGTTGTTGTTGTTGTTGTTGTTGTTGTTGTTGTTGTTGTTGTTGTTGTGGATATTGTTACTTCTGTGATAAGATTAAACATAAAATTTTACAAGTTAAGATCAAAGGATAGAATAAAATTTTTTGAATAGAAACGTTGGGATATGAGTTTCCGTCTTTAGCTGAAAGGTTCGGTGTTTCTCAAGAAAGTGAAGGCTTTAAAAAATGATAAAAGTATTAAACTAACCGTTTGTTGTTGGCATTGCTGTCGTTGTACCATTTGAAGGAAAATCTAAATAACCAAATAGAAAAAGTTGTCAGCTAACTAATACTTCTTATCGTTATTAGATGATAAACAAAGCGAGAGACTTGTATTCTACAAGCCTTAGTTAGAGAATTTATACTTTGCATAATTAAAAGCATAGCGATGTTAGTTATTACCGGTGGTATTTGTTGGTCCGATGGTTGTCTCCGGTAAGGAAGAAAATCCAGTGGTTGTAGCTATGTTACAAATAGAAACGAGTTGTTCTTATTAAGGCTTACGATGAACATTGAAAAATTGTTTTGTACATGTTTTAACATGTTGTAGAAAAACTAATTGGGAGTCAGACGAGAAACTCATTTTCGAATATAGTTCTATAAGTTGAAGTCAACGATAAAATTCGCAGACTACAATATTTTTAAAGCAAATTTCTACGAAAAACATTTTTGCGCACGTAAAAATAAAAGTTATCCAATTTGCTGACCCTCTTACTTCCTGAAATACGTTATACAGTCATGATTTTAGAGCCAAATTAAGATATAAGTCCGAAGCCTACAGAGCATAAGAAAAGCAAACTTGTGCAGAACTGGAAATTTTAGCTACCGAATAGTAGAGTCAGAGTATTTTAGAAACCTTATAATTAATTGAAAACAACAAAATTGTTTTTAGAAAGTACGATATGTCAAGCAGAAAGCTTATCTATTCTAAAGAAAAAGCATGTGGATAGTGATTTTATGACACACTAGTCTACAGATATTGAAGAAATATAAGCAAAACTGAATGTCATTGATAATAATTTCAGAAGTTGAATAAACAATGCAGTTCGATATGCTACACATGCATTTCCAACCAAAAGGGACTAGCGACCTGTGTTTTTCAGATTCGTCATTTAAACTACCTGGGCAACAAGCTCATATGAAAGAAAAGCTAGCCGAAAAAGAAACACTGATGTGCCGGCGAGGAAGTAAAATTTTTGGAACTGCTTGAACATCATTCAAAAGTTAACCTTCCAGACTATAAGACCAACGAAAAAAAGAATTAATGTGGCAACCTCGGATTTAAATCCGAGAGTTATGTGTACTTCAAAAAGTGAATTAGACAGATGAGTCATCCTAGAACGTGTGGACATCAAAATTATCCTAGCAAACCTTTTCTATTAACACTTTAATTCTATTGGCTACTGATCAACCAATAGGACTTAGGGGCGAATACAGCTCAGATTTGAACTCTTCGCCTTGACTTACCCTAAGAAAGTCGTTTTTCCAATAACTTGATTTCTATTGGTCCCTGCTCAATCAATGGTATTTCGAGGCAAGTGGAGTACAGATTCGAGTTCTCCGCCACAGAAAACCTCGAAGTACCATCTCTGTGATCGAAAGATAGAGCTCTAATTGTGGATCAATCAGAGCGTGGACAAAAATAGAACCTATTTCCGTCTGATTATCTTGGCAATAGGTAAGTTAGCCTTCGTGTTTCTTTATGTTTCATATACCATTTTGTAGCTCGTGAAATTCTCTATCGAATGGTATATAATAGCTGGAGTTTTATTTGATTATGATAGTAAAAGTTTTTTACTAAAGTGAGAATAGGTCGATTTTCCTACAGGAAGCCATAGGGAAAAATGACTATTTTTGCAATAACTCAAGAACGGCTCGGCCAATCATGCTCATCTTCGAACTCAGCCGAGATATTGTTAAGACTGAACTGTGTAGAAAATTTCATGATAATCGGACTATTCTTTCAAAAGTTATCGTGTTAACGGACGGACGGACACACTGACCGAATCTAGAGTGTACTCACTTTTTGAGTACGCAAAAACGGACTATTGTTCGAACAACATGCTGAGTTGCCAAAGTTTCTTTCCCCTGTAGTAGGCTATCACGAGTTCTTCAAAATGAAAAGTGAATTAGTTCACTAAACGAAGCGACCATCAGTCATTTTAGCATGGCCTGTTTGTGAAAAGATTTTCAAAAAATCCACGAGGTAGACCATTACCGTGAGGTGTTAGGAAAAATTAAATTCATCAAAAAACTATCGAGTCGTATGTGTTTAGGTTTAGTTTTTCGTGTTGAATCCGAATACGTATAAAGTGTGCAGAACAAAGCGTTCATAAGATGAGAAGATTCAATTTCACCTGAAAAATCGAAGTTTTTTGAAAAACCAAAAGTCTCAATCATGTCAAAAAGCCGTACAAAACCGCACGTATACTGAGTGCAGGACATCGAAACAAACATTTTGTCCTACTTTTAAACTCGACTGGAGCCCTACCAAGATCTGTGCTGTTACTTTACTTAGGATAGGCTTTTCGAACAGGTATCTGTTTATAAAACCTCGACTCAAATGTTTGGTTTCGCTGAGTGCAAAAACACTTTTTAATCGTTGGATGGCCCGATCCATGCTGATTCTAAATATGTGCTTACATTTAAAGAGCACGGACAAATAGGGTTAGAGAAAATTTAGTTTCTTTAAAACTACAGTAATTCTAGCGAAACTTTTCAATCTAACTTTTCTTGGCAGAGAAAACATTTTAGACGAAACGTTTTTAGCCATTCAAAGGATAGCTGACACTATTCAACACACGAGAAACTAAACTTTCAATTTTTTACTAAAAGAAGATTTGATTGCCTATTGTGCCGGGTAGTCTAGATTTCGAATTCGAAAATCGTCGATCGCTAGTTCTTCTCGTTAAAAAATTATTTAAAAAAATATTAGACTACCTGTTCGTTGAAAAAGATAATGGTTCATGCTAAAGTTTTCATAGCTTCGAAAGACGCTATCTAACCCGTAGCCTAATGTCATTCAAATTTGATTGACCTCTCGTTTTGAGCAGAATTGCACTAAGTTTTGGATGGATGTGACTGAAAATTCATCAAACGATGTTCTTCTAAACTATATAAACTAGTGCTTCAGAACATAGAGTTTCGTCACACATTCTTTCTGCACTTTTAGTGGCACAGTGTTGATGCATATTTGCTATTTGAGTAAAATTTTGTCCTTTTCAGTTGCGTGCTAGAGTTCTGAAAAGTCAATAAGAGCTGTGCAGTGAAGGCATTTTTTGCGAAGAAAAGCAAAAGAATCTGTTTTCCTCTGAGAAAGTAATTTATTACATATTTTTTCGAAAAGGACAGCTTCTTTTGGTTTTCTCGATTACCGCCGGCGTGAAAAACTGAGATTAGAATATGGTTTCTCATCATTCGATAAATATTCGATACTACGAAGATTGGTTCAATTTGAATTCTGCTTTACGATAAAATGTATTGACTCTTTTACCTGTAACTTGGTCATCGTTTTTTCTTTTCTTTGAATTTTTTCCAAAATATACGGCCAATGGTACAGTGATGCAAATGATCACTACTAAGACTATCATAGCTAGAATAATGGAAAGCTTCTTATTTCCATCGATCCATTGTGTGCATCTTTTGCATAGTTTGTCCGGGTTCTTCTCTGCGTTGGCTGAATCCAGTTTATCAATAACTATATTTTCATATACTGGCGGCTGATTATTGTTGATGGGAGGATATTGATATGGCAATGGAGGAGGTTTGGGTAGCACAGGCTGTTCCTTAGATTGAAACTTCTCTTCACTGAGTCGCGCTGGGCATAGACCCTAAAATATACACAGAAGAATACGTGCTGTTCCTCGCCATCAAAATGTATATAGCGGAGTTTTTATCAAAATAACTATCAATATTTACTTCGTGTATATCGAAATGACTTGTCGGATACCGTTCTCCACAATATTTGCAATCGAATTCTAGTAAAATACTAGTGCAACGTGACATTTTCGTAATTTCGCTTTTTGAAATCAACAAACTGTAAGTCTATGCAAAACGGATTGTATACACCTTCCTTCCAAATAAGTTAGAATCCAAAAAATGTAATATTAAAAGAAGAGAAAGAGTTTTATAACATCTATTGTAAAAAACATTTTGAAAGATAAGAAAGATGACAGGGAATGCGAGTATGTTATAATGAAACACACCCACGACTGATTGAAGACGTAATAAAAAAAAAAGGAAGATGAAAGCGCTGAAATCGTCAAGAATGTTGGTTAGTCAAAATTGCTGATAAAATTGAAGACAAGCCTATTTGTCATGAACACTAAGAATTTCATTCTTCGATTTTGCAGATTAGCAAGGCATTTAAATCATTTGCTGGACGATCTAATGACAGTTCTTATTGGATCGTAATGAAACCATTAAAAATCCACTCATATAAGTGGTCTTTATTACGAATTTGCGAGTCTAAAATCAGTTCGTAGAACAAACAGAGCTGGGCAAGTCAAGTCAAGTCAAGTCAGACTTGACTTGACTTGGTCGAAAAAAATTTGAGGTGTGATTTGACTTGAGAAGCCTCTGACTTGCCCAGTTCTGTTTCTTATAGACATTGTTTTTTACCATGAAATACAATTCCGAGACTATAAAAATTGATCCTCATCCGATAAGTGCTAGTAAATGTTGTTCTGCCTAACTTTTAATTGGACTTGACTTGACTTCTAGGAAAAACATTTCGATGAATGACTTGACTTGGCTTGATTTGACTTGACTTGACTTGTGACTTGAGAAACCTTCAGCTTGCCTAGCTCTGAGAAGAAACATGTTTTTTTCTTCCAAGAACCATAGTGAAGTCGAATGGCACAACAACTTGAATCGACTCTCTTTGCTTCAATCAACACAAGTACAAGTTCAATTAGCATCCTTAGCTTAAAGTAAAGAGGGTGTGAGTGTGGATGTTGATTGTCGGTATGAGTATTGGTTGCAATGTAGTGTTCGTCAACATCCACACCCAGCACATTTGTGCAGACCAGCTATCTACACAGTTCATAATAGAACAATTACAAA